TATCCCTCCACCACTTATATTTTACAATGCGTTTTTGTTTCGCAAAAGTGCTTCACTTTTGCGTTTCTAGGGCGTGTCTCCGAACGGATGTTCCCAAAGAAGATGTGTCTTGATGTACATGTAGGTCCTCCTTGAATGTTTGCTTAACGCCGTACTCGGTGTTTATGGCATAATGACGATACCTCTTGTGCACAAAGTATTAAAAGCCCAGGTGATCACATTAGTGGTAGGAAGAGGCCGCAGTCATCTGTACTGATCATAAGAGCGACATATTGGATCTGGTGGTCAGGCTCGGTGAATTGGTTGATTGCGTGTCATCGTACCCCAATGGCGTAAGACGTTTCTCATACTATCAATCACTCTTTTACCAGACCCAGACTCGATTATTTACACGACGCCGTCACATACACACTAAACAAGGATCCACCTTTCAGCCGTTTGAAACTTGTGCCAGCATCACATATAGGTCAATGAATTGATAATTGAGTGAGTGAATGTGGTTTTATGCCGCATTTTGCAATATTCCAGCGATATCATGAAGAGGGACACCACGTGTAAGCTTTACCGCTTGCACCGATGGAGAGAATGGAACCCTGGTTTTCAGCGTGTCGGTCCAAAGCGTTAACCACAAGCTTACCCCACCGTCCTATTATAAATAAAACCAATGCTTTATATATTTGTGTCTTTTACTTATACATCAAAGGCAAGCTAGTTTAGTTGGAAATGATAGAGCATGTAAAAAGGTTTGATGAGAACATGGGTGAGTAAATCTACGTTGCAATTTTATCCTTGTGGCGCCGGGGAGCAAATAAAACATTTATAAAAGACACTGTTAACGAAGAACGTAACGCAGTTATATATAATCCAACATGGGTGGATAAAAAGTTAAATATATCTACTCAACCCTATGAACCATACTGCAGGTGTATCCGTGCTTACTTCTTTCAAATAACCGGAAGGAAAATGTCCCCTATACGGTGAATTTCTAGTCACAACTGATAAATTTAGCGCATTCATCCTTTTAATTTCTATAATAAGTGTTTTCAAGCCTAGTTGTATGTTACTAGAGTGAAATGGTTCGACAGGTCCATCAGTATACCAGCTTTCAGTCCTATCCCACAAGGAACGCCCGAAGTGGCGCATCTCATTGACCTTATCATATGTGTAATCCTTATCCTTGATGTAAGGGCACGGTACTCACAATAATAAATAAAGCGACAAAACCCGTTCCATATTCAAAAGAAATTCCGACTATATAATGAGCATGTGTTTTGAATCACTATCAACTTGTGATGATACCAGGAGTTCGCGAAAAGGTGGTAAATGGTTGGAAATGTCCTCCTTATTTCTACCATAAAACGTTTTGAAAGTTTATCGAAAGCATCGAATGTTAAAACGTAGATCAAACATCTTCTGAGCAAGTTTCGTGTGACGCTCTTTGAAATCTTGTTAGAAGGGCTTGCTCGATTGTACCTCAAATGTGGTGAAATGTAGACACCAAGGGATGGAGCTGAAGGAATATTGCTCGACATTTGTTGAATATTGGAAAGTTGAAGTCACTTCTCTTGTCACATGGTCTTGTGGAGAGTGTTTTCTCACACTGAATTGTTGTGCATAGTTCAAGATGTGAAACCGACGAGGCAGGTTCACGGATCTCCTTTTTTCTAGCTCAGGTTCAAAGTCATCATTAGAGCAAACCTGGGATTCAAACACACAATTAACGGATCCTGACTGGGCTACCGTCTGTACGAACAACGGAAAAAAAACTCTGAAGCAAAATCTATACGCATTTCTGAACACTGATGGGTTTCTCCTGCAAAATGAAGATTACAAAGGGCGCATGTAAATTATTTTTTTCAACCTAAACAAACACAAAGAGACCGGGGGAAGGTCATCGGATTCGTTATTAGGAAATACCCCTGATGGTTATAGTTTGATAAAAAGCAAAGGACACCCGCAGTGAAAGTATTTTAAATTTTGGATTGCATGGACTGTAAGATAACTGTGATTGATTTAGATCCCATTGTCCGTGTTATAATCATATCATGTAATAATGACATGCCGATACATCTATTATATTGAAAATAAACATTTTGATTTATTTGAGGTCGTAAATGAAACCCCCTTTTGCCATTGCATACGGCTATTGTATACTATCAACAATCGGCTAAAACGAATCGGAAGATAAAGTAATTGATATCCCCCGTCCATTTACGTATGTGCATAAATCAAACAATTTATATGTCATATACCTCATTATGCGTAAAATAATTTGTGAGTACAACTGACATTATGACAGATGACTAAATCGCAAAATGAAAACCCACCAGTTCAGCAGTTGCATGATTTTATGAGTTATGCTCTGGAAACGATCCCTACCCTCGCTTAAATTCCAACTTGTTGCCATGGAAACGAAATTAAAAAGAAAATCCCGAATAGCACAAGGCAGTGTAGGCAACTGTCCGTTGCATGTATTGGGCAAGGCCGACGGCTACAGCTTGCCCAATACCTGCATTGGACAGTGACCTGTATGAGTTTTAAATCTTATTCACAGAAATCAAAAGGACAAAGTTATTTTATAAGGATCTACTCACAGAGTTATTTTACAAAGATCTGTTCACTGACTTGTTTTCACACACGGATGCATCAACATAAATAATAAATTACTACTGATATGGTTTTGTGACTACTGTAAAACACAAATAATATATGGCTCGAAAATAATACGTCTGACCATTGCAGACTTCAATGCGCACCAAATAAATGCGATCAACCAGTATTATGGGTTTTTTTATAAATTACTAAACGATGATCTTCGCTGAACTTTATCTACTCACAAAATTGTATTTCCTGCTAACAAGCAATGGTTGGGTAATGTTTAATTGACATATAGTGTACAGGATGATGGTGATCCAAAACTAATTATTACCCAGTTTAAAGAAAGGGTGTACCACTGTTCTTTGCAAGAATGGCATGCCTCCTTAGACTCAAATGTATTCACTTTTTATAAGACTCAGAAATCATTGTTAGATTGTGAAAAATATTTGTCTCTTCAAATGCCCTGGGAGTACAAACGTCTATTAACAAAGTTTAGAATTGGTTGTAATTCTTTGGTGTGCAGCATCTACGTAGGGGTGTATCAACATTGACCGATGATAATGTTCTGTGTGAACATTGCAACGCAATTGAAGATGGATTTCATGTTGTATATGTCTGTAAACATCACGAAGATGAGCGTAAACTGTTATTACCTAAATTGTCAAATAAGCAGTATTATTCACTTAAAAGCCTATGTACTTCGCCAGATATTAATGTATTATTGCCATTTACAAAGTTCAAAACACATCATTTTAAGGACGGTTCCTCTTAATATTGTTAATTTGATAATGTGAGTCTGTATTAATTCATGTGGTAACTCACATTATGATGTAAAAAGTTTTGTACTTTAGGTCACGTGGCCTTTAATGCAAATAAACCTGTTTGCCTGTCTATCTGTCTGTCTGTTTAAATTACTAAACGATGATCTTCTCTGAACTATATCGACTGACAAAATTGCAGTTCCTTCTTACAAGAGTGGGTTGGGTGATGTAAAATTGACATACAGCATATTGTTTTGATATCAATTTACTGAATGAATGAAACAAGTTATCCTTTTAAAAGATGTTGTTATTGTTATTGTATAACTATTAGTTACATTTAGTTTCTTCATTGTTGCATGAAAAGACATTGAATAGCTTATGAGTTATGCATCGGAAACGAAACGTGACGGGCGGATCATGTTTCTACGTCTCCCGCAAAACTTCTTTTGGGCTGGGAATATTACAAACAGCCGATTAAAGTAAATATGTATTAACAAATATGTATTTTGGTATACATCAAATATATGCACGTATTATTTTTGCAATCATGAAGTTCAGTTCATATAATCAAAACGACCCTTATTTTTCAGGCAACTAAATTGCATGTGATGCAACAATTACTATTCCCTTGTCATCCGTGTTTCCTGGCGTAACAACACCTGTGTATTTGTCATCATCCACTCAATTAATGAATTTATTGCAGGTATAATTAGAAGTAGCGCCACGCAAGAATACTTGACAAAGGTTCCCATTTGGAATTTCTCGTGTCTGGGGTGGATTGGGTTATAAATCCAGGTCTGATGTGGTAAATGTATTACATGTCATGAAAATATATTTGCAAACGTAATATTACCTTTATAATATTTCTGTAATTAGGTAAGAAAAGTGTTTCTCAAGTAAATATGGTTCTTACATACAAAAAAGACATGGTATTCATCCTCTACCAAATGGAGGTCACATTTTCTTTACATACAGATTTTATATGAGATTATTTAACAATGACCTTTTGCGAATAATGCTGACTAGAAAGTTGTGAAGAGATATTCGAAATTTACACATTGCTCCAACTAATCGTTTGTCTCTGAGTACTGTTGTGTGTAATGGACCAGGTGGTAAGGCTCGGTGACGTGGTTGATTGCATGACATCGTTCCCCAACGTTAACAACGTGGACCTTTCATAATAATATCAATCATTACTTTGTCTGGTACACACTCGATCATTACTTCATGCAGCTAGAATAGTGCTGAGTTCTGTGCACGTTAACCAACCAACCAACCAAACAACAACAAACTCTGGAACGTTGTCATGCTATGTTGCACGTATTTACTCAGCCAACGATTTTATTTCCTGGGATAGTCTGAACGTAATTGTATGTGTTACTATAACAAAGCCTCATCTGATAATGTAAATACATTTATCGTATTACATTCGTTGCCATGTCCATGTAAGAGCTGTTTTAATGGACAGGCCATACATGGACCATCCATTCCAGTACCAAGCAATTACTATACGGTAGTGACGTTACCCCTTTCATATGCGCCAGTCAGGCGATACATCATCGTCTTAGCTCAAAGGAGCACAATATTGTAAAAATGCAGTCAAGCTTGGCGATTGAGAGCGGAGTCATCACACAGTACGTGACACCGTGCGAATGAAATAGCCTCATTCGTGAGCCCCGTTCAGAGTAAACACAGCTATTTCAAAATGCTCTATGTTTTCATCTCTCTGTTCCGTTGCTTTGTTTTTATTTCCAAATTGAGAAACGCTGAATGTGGAATGACATTTACTTCAGGTAAGAAGTTCACTTTTCTCTTCTTTTTCACTTTTTCTGTAAACCTCTATTAAATGTTATGCTTGAACTTTATGTAATATTTGTTTTTTTCCCATGACAAATAGATCATTGTGAATATTACTGATATCTTGTAAATGACTATTGACGTGATGTATAATTTTGAGTGTAGTTAATAGCTTTCAGGGGATGCACTGACATCCAGATGATTCTTACAACCAGATGTTCTTAATTAACTTTATGTATGTTATTTAAGTAACTAATTGTTTTGATATTTGAACTGTGCGCTTGTTGGCTCTTGAGCTGAATGTGTTATCATTGTTTTTTGCATTTGCGTGGAATGAGGGTACTATCTTGTCAACGAGCTCGTCGGATACGTGTTTTCATGACACCGATTTTGTTATTAACTGGTCATTTAAAGTAAGTTTCAATCCAGTAAGATAAAGTCCACATAGAGTACAGTGAGTTGACGAATCTGCACTGGTATTTTGTCATCGAAGTCTATCGGGTTGAAGTAGAACGTTTCTTTAGAATTTCCCAGATATACAGTGTGACCATTCTTAATTTGCCTGAACTAAATTTATCGCCAAAAGCTGCAAGAAGGTTTTCTTCACAATGCCACTGTCAGAATCTTATGCCAAACAGGCCATAATGCCATCGCCATCTGAAGAAAATATTCCTTTTCTACCATCATATACAAATGCAATGATAATGTTAAAGGACACATATTATGATTGGACATTATTCTATTCATTTTGCTATCACGTGTCACTAATCGTGCAAAATTCGTGAAGATGCGGGTTAGAATAATTGTTGGTGTTCAGCAATCCATGCTTGCCGCTAGAGGAGACTAACGGGATCGGGTGTTCAGGCTCGTTGACTTAGTTGATGCATATCATCATATCCCAATTGCGATGCTCATGTCAATCACTGGATTGTCTGGTCAAGACTCGATTATTTACTGATCGACGTCATACAACTGGAATATTGCTGATTGCGGCTTTTAACAACATTGTTCACTAATGGTTCACTGTGATATGGTGACTGGGGGTAGCCTAGTTGTTAAAGCGTTTACTCGTAACCACGCAGCCTTGGGTTTGATTCTCAAATCGGGTACAGTGTCTCAAACTCATTTCTGTTACCCAAGTGGACAAGTTGGTAATGTACACATTTGTTTTCAAATTGCCTAGTTTACAGAGAAACATCGTACGAAACATACAATTTGTCATTGAGACATTGAATACAGGGTTGGGAAGGGCGTTTTATTGTTGAAATGGTCACTTACACCTTCATGTGGTCTTTACAATTTCACGTCCTGCATAGACGTTAACGTTCCCACCGGTGACATCACCCACTTGAGCGCCAGACTTGCCTGGTTTACCACTTGAGTATCTGACTTGGCTGGATTACCGCTTGAGCGTCTGACTGTGGCTGGTTTACCACTTGGAGGTGTGACTTGGCTGGTTGACCACTTGGGGATCTGACTTGCCTGGTTTACTACTTGAACGTCTGACTTGGCTGGATTACCGTTTGAGCGTCTGACTGTGGCTGGTTTACCACTTGGAGGTGTGACTTGGCTGGTTGACCACTTGGGGATCTGACTTGGCTGGTTTACTACTTGAGCGTCTGAATTGGCTGGTTTACCACTTGGGGGTCTGATTTGGCTGGTTTACCACTTGGGGGTCTGACTTGGCTGGTTTACCACTTGGGGGTCTGACTCGGCTGGTTTACCACTTGGGGGTCTGACTTGGCTGGTTTACTACTTGAGCGTCTGACTTGGCTGGTTTACCACTTGGGGGTCTGATTTGGCTGGTTTACCACTTGGGGGTCTGACTTGGCTGGTTTACCACTTGGGGGTCTGACTTGGCTGGTTTACTACTTGAGCGTCTGACTTGGCTGGTTTACCGCTTGGGGGTCAGACTTGGCTGGTTTACCACTTGGGGGTCAGACTTGGCTGGTTTACCGCTTGGGGGTCTGACTTGGCTGGTTTACCACTTGAGCGTCTGACTTGGCTGGTTTACCGCTGGAGCGTCTGACTTGGCTGGTTTACCGCTTGGGGTTCAGACTTGGCTGGTTTACCGCTTGGGGGTCAGACTTGGCTAGTTGACCACTTGGGGGTGTGACTTGGCTGGTTTACCACTTGAGGGTCTGACTTGGCTGGTTTCCTACTTGAGGGTCTGACTTGGCTGGTTGACCACTTGGGGGTCAGACTTGGCTAGTTGACCACTTGAAGGTCTGAGTTTGCTGGTTTACCGCTTGGGGGTCAGACTTGGCTGGTTTACCGCTTGAGGGTCTGACTTGGTTGGTTTACCGCTTGAGCGCCATATTCGGCTGGTTTACCACTTGAGGGTCTGACTTGGCTGGTTTACCACTTGAAGGTCTGACTTGGCTGGTTTACCACTTGGGGGTCAGACTTGGCTGGTTGACCACTTGGGGGTCTGACTTGGCTGGTTTACCGCTTGGGAGTCTGACTTGGCTGGTTTACCGTTTGGGGATCTGACTTGGCTGGTTTACTACTTGAGCGTCTGACTTGGTTGGTTTACCACTAGAGCGTGTGACTTGGCTGGTTTACCACTTGGGGGTCTGACTTGGCTGGTTTACCACTTGGGGATCTGACTTGGCTTGTTTACTACTTGAGCGTCTGACTTGGCTGGTTGACCACTTGGGGGTCTGACATGGCTGGTTTACCACTTGAGCGTGTGACTTGGCTGGTTTACCGCTTGAGCGTGTGACTTGGCTGGTTGACCACTTGGGGGTCTGATTTGGCTGGTTTACCACTTGAGGGTCTGACTTGGCTGGTTTACCACTTGAGCGTCTGACTTGGCTGGTTTACCACTTGAGCGCCATGCTTGGCTGGTTTACAACTTGAGCGTGTGACTTGGCTGGTTTACCACTTGAGCGTGTGACTTGGCTGGTTGACCACTTGGGGGTCTGACTTGGCTGGTTTACCACTTGAGCGTGTGACTTGGCAGGTTTACCACTTATGCGTGTGACTTGGGTAGTTGACCACTTGGGGGTGTGACTTGGCTGGTTTACCACTTGGGGGTGTGACTTGGCTGGTTTACCACTTTGGGGTGTGACTTGGCTGGTTTACCACTTGAGCGTGTGACTTGGCTGGTTTACCACTTATGCTTGTGACTTGGCTAGTTGACCACTTGGGGGTCTGACTTGGCTGGTTTACCACTTGGGGGTCTGACTTGGCTGGTTTAGCGCTTAAGGATCTGACTTGGCTGGTTTACCGCTTGGGAGTCTGTCTTGGCTGGTTTACCACTTGAGCGTGTGACTTGGCTGGTTTACCACTTGAGTGTGTGACTTGGCTGGTTGACCACTTGGGGGTGTGACTTGGCTGGTTTACCACTTGAGCGTGTTACTTGGCTGGTTTACCACTTGGGGGTGTGACTTGGCTGGTTTACCCATTGAGCGTGTGACTTGGCTGGTTTACCACTTGAGCGTGTGACTTGGCTGGTTGACCACTTGGGGGTCTGACTTGGCTGGTTTACCACTTGAGCGTCTGACTTGGCTGGTTTACCACTTGAGGGTCTGACTTGACTGGTTTGCCGCTTGAGCGCCATACTTGGCTGGTTTACCACTTGAGTGTCTGACATAGCTGGTTTACTACTTTATTGACATTCCTACTGAAAAAATACATACGCTTCAGATGCATACCTTATTACTGATAAGTTGTGGTTAGATTAGCTTGACATAATTTGACAGACATACATGTAGTTTGAAAGACAGAACCACTGCCTCCTCAGGGCGGTTCTTTATGTTGCAGAGAGGGAGACAAGGAAACCGTAGAAATAACTGGGATATAAAAAAAACTCTTCAAAAAAAGAAACGCACAGGTAGTATGTAGTTAATGGAACCTGACTTCTATCCGGTATATAAATTGGATATATGTTACTGGAAAATGTTGGTGGCCTGATATTCGACAAACGGTGCCTCAAAACGCTGCCATTGTCGATTTGCAATGTCTTAAACGGAATTGTTTTCACAATTGTTAAAAAATGTCATGGAGGAAAACAGTAAAGCAAAATGCACATGCAAGTTATGGCATTCGTAACTCGTGGTTGTGGCTAGGAAATGGCAAGCCAATAACTTGTCATTCAATTGTCAACATTTTTCAAGCTCGAAAATGCCGAGACTCAACGCAGCCTTTTGTTGCACGCCATTTCAACGTCCACCACAGCACCATTTGCCGCCTCTGGGAGCGATACACACAGTTCAGTTCCACTGCAGACCGTCCGAGAACCGGCCGACCAAGTGTTACCCCCCCCCCCCCCCCCCCCCCCCCGTGCACAGGATCGCTACAGTTGACTGTTCTACGTACGTCATCGCAATGCCACAGCTGCGGAGACTGCAGGACATATCCGACACCACGAGATCTGACTTGGTTGAGATTCAGGGAAATTTGACGGCAAATCGCTAAATGAACCAAATTCTTCAACATCACCTTCTTCCAATCATTGACCGCCAGAGGGAGCTGTTTCAACAGGACAACGCACTACTGCTCGTACCTTCATAATGCCAACATCAACGCCTTGCCCTGGCTGTCGAGATCTCCAGATCTCAACCCAATCGAACACCTCTGGGAGGAATTCGATCGACGTGTACGTCAAGGTCAGAACACACCACAGACACTCCCACAACTGGCCGCAGAATTCCGCAGGACAGAATTCGTACCCCTATCCAGTCAATGCCAAGGAGATGCAGAGCCGTGATTGCTGCCCGGTGCGGTCACACGAGATACTGAGTTCAGCGCAATCTTGTGGCCTTATATGACATGACAATGAACAGTTTTCAATGCCATTGTACAACGACAACATGTGACTATCGAGTTCCAAAATTTCGTATTTGTATCTATGATATTAAATTAAATATATCGCTTTATAACTTAAGGTACAATAGATTTACTAAAAATCTACCTGTACGTTTCTTTTTTTGAAGAGTGTAATTGTTAACAAATGTGCATTTTTTTTCACCTACGTGTGTACATGGTCACGTAGGTTTTAGTCAAGAATAAATGCTTGTTGTAGGCCTCCTCTTTGGAACTGTCTGCTGAAATAAATGGTACTACTAAACGTTTCAAACTGACATCCCATGAACCTTTTAAAATGAAATAAAAATTCACATGAATAGTTATTGTTTTTCACAAATCGACACTTCAAAAGCACTTAGTGAGAATGAGCGAGATCAACTTAGGATGAAAGCAAGAGAAAATAAAATTCCGGTGCGCGTGCGCAATGGGATTTTTACGTCACATGATATTAGTATGACAACAAATGATGAACAAACAACAAAACAAAGACTTCTGATGGATATTCTTTATTGTTTGTCTGTGACTGAAGACCAACATAGAGATTATTGACAAACCTATAACAGCGGCAGGGTATTCGCAAAAATGACATACTTCCCTCCGTCATGGTTTGTTGATTTGATTTTTTTAATATACCAAATGTCACAAATGATGTTATTTTCATCATGTCAGCAGGGGGTAAAAAAACTTTGCTAATGTGTTTGCTATGGAGCCGTAACATATGGGTACTTACATGAATTGATCTTGCATAAACCCAATCGACCAGGCAGTTGTTTTCATGCCATTGTTTGCTAGCGTTCAAACTTTAATAAATAATCACGGATAAAATGAAAGCGTTAAAAGAATGAAGAACCGCATCAGTTCAACGATACATTTACAAAATACAGTAAAGAGAGTAATGACTTCTTTGACAACCTCGATATACAAAGTAATTCAAAGTACAAACACTCAAGTAACATTTTATACCGGAAAGACCGTTCAACCGCTCCTAGCATAAATGATCAATGGTTCTAATTTTATTTCATTATTTGTCTTCGGATGACATTAGTGCCTTGAACCATACCAACAATGATCACAGGAACTTTGCAGCACTTTGGTTTCATCTTGTGGATAAGAAGAGCACTCTACGACCCTTCTGTGCAAAGTGTTGTGTGCTGAGTATGGAGTGCATTACAAAGTACATTGCAATGCATAGCACCAAGATACTAACGTAAACTTTGAAAGGACATAGAGATTACTACACGAGTGTCTGTCAGATACCATTGATCTTACAACGAGTTGTAAGATGAATGGTATCTGACAGGCTCGAGTGCAGTAACATGTTTCTCACACACACTAAAATCGCACCTTTTTAGCATCGAACCGATGCATTTTGTCTATTCTCATGATTGCTGTAGCGTATTAATACATAACACCACTGTCATAAGTGACGTCATCCTTTGCGCTGCTTACTACTCATAAATAATGTGACCCTACACAAAAAGGTTTCCGTCAAATCTGTGGATTATCAAGGCGATGATGAGAATACAAACTAGACAAAAACAAAGAACACGCTGGGTGCCAAATTGAAAGTTTACACCTCAAAGAAATTACCAAATATGTACAACAATGTTTACTTCCGTATGACATCATTACTGCCGGTGACCGACTTTTACAAAATGGCGTGTTCACTGTAATCAGAAACATTCTGACAATCTGCGTACTGTTATGTATTTACCATGTTTTCCAATGTAACAAAGAGAATTAGTCAGAAATGCAGATAACTACCTTCATCGTTGTGCGTGATTTAGCGTCAGTCATGGCGTCACACAGGACGGAAACCTTTACGGCTTCTGTTGAATTTACCACATCATTGTAATGTATATGTGTGTATTTCCATAATTAGCGCAACGATACTCTTCCCATGAATATTCTCAAACGCGTGATCGAGCCAATGTATGCAACAATTAGGCGAAAGTACCTCTAAAAATGCTACACAGTGTAAAATAAAAGATTTTCAGAAGTCACTTTCAGTAAATTTGCTTTGCCTAAAATGACAGTAAATGCTAAACAGAAGGGGAAATTCAAAACTGTGCTGTGTATTAGTTTGCGTGATGTGTTTTGAATTTTATTCGACTTGGAAGTGAGTGTTGAAGAGGAAACACATGTGTCGCTGTGGCATCCAGGGCGTTTACACTCTGAAAAAAACGATAAGGTTGACATAACGACAGATAATGTAACTGATAATAATAGCAAACAAACAATGACGAGTTTGTTTATTTCCATTATTAATTACACGGTCCTGTTGTTCAATACAGACGTAGGTGAACATTCGACTGAAGCACGAGCAACTTATGAATGACTTACACTCAGGAAAGTAGTCCGTCATCATCTGACCTCAGGGCATCACCATGTAGTAGCCAATCACGGGCCTGGAATTCGATCTCACACATATGTTTGATACCAATTATCTCAAATGGGTTCTCACCCACAGGTGTGTAAGAATTTTTTTCTTTTTATATAGTATTATGTCGTAGGGTGGAAGGAAAGCTGCGTGTGACGTTAGGCAACAAGAAGAAAAAACAACAACTGTTTGTGCAGTGTGAGTGGCGGGTGCTACCGTTAACGAAGGACAGGCTTACTCTTTACTCTGCTTTTCAGTGACCCATTCATGTAATTTTCGGCACCATTTTGCCTTTTACGTCCTATGCAATCTATTTCGTTAGATAATCGAAACTGGTTATTCTCTGGCTTTGAGCTTTTGAATTGTTAATAATCAATTTGAGTTCATAACTTTTGCAAAACGTAATTTCCTTGTGTGCTCTGTCCACAATGAATTACCACATCTGCTTTGATGTCTAGAAACCATTTCGCAATCTGTATTTGCTATATATTTGATACTGTCCATCAATCATAATCGGGAACGGTTTTACATTATATACGAATCAGATGTTCTAAAACATTAAGCTGCTTTATGAAAACAGAACATGATAGTTAATTACTCATAGGCGACTGACTCAATTCGCTGTGTATTCTGTGTCCGTGCCAGGATCCGCTTATCCTTGGTTCGAATATCATCTACAATTTGCGTATGAGCAACATACATGTACCTGACTAAGTGCTCACCTGCGCGGGTGTATCCACCGTGGTCGACGTCTTCGACGGGGCAATCTTCCACACCAAACTTCCATGCCGTAATATACTGTTCAAAGCAACGTCACATCTCTGAGCTCTTTAAAGTTCTTTAAAAATGATATTGGTCACTGCGACTTGCTCTTGGTTTCTGTTTAAAAGAGCTTCGACATGAACTGTGCAGCTTGATGGGTAAGGACATGCGTCGTTTCAAAATATAAGAAAGTGAAAAGACAACATGTGGCTACATCCTCGTTACATGTGTAAATACTTGTCAGATGCAATATTACTACCACAGCAGTCGAAAGTAATATTCAATCAATATCACGGCGGGGGACACCAGAAATGGACTTTACACAACCTACCCTTCTGGGAAATCGAACCCGGGCCTTCGACGTGACGAGCAAACGTTTAAATGACTACATGACTATGAATATCCTTTGACAAGGCTATCCTCGAAAAAGGCGACTAACGGTAGGGGGGAGGGTGTGTGTCACGTCATTGTTTCCCAATAGTGTAGAGTGATGCTCTTTTTGTCAGTCACTGGATTGTCTGGTACAGACTCAATGATTTACGGATCGCCGTCACGTACGAGTAGCTGGAATATTGCTGCCTTAGTCCCATACATAATATACAGCAAATAAGGTTCGGGTAGTTCAAATATGCAGCTGAGTGAGTGAGTGAGTATGGCTTTACGCCGCTTTTAGCAATATTCCAGCAATATCACGACGGGGGACACTAGAAATGGGCTTCACACATTGTATCCATCTCGGGAATCGAACCCGGGTCTTCGGCGTGACGAGCGAACGCTTTAACCACTAGGCTACCCGACCGCCCAAAATATGCAGCTGAAAGGTCATTGTGCCCCAATCGCATACACTGTTGCTCTTGCTATCAACCCCTGGTTTGCCTGACCTTTGCTGGGTAGAACAATATTCAATAATAGTAGGATGAACTGGTCATGATTTACGTGTATTATGAAAGAATGTGCGAAAGCTACATGCATGTTGTTGTCGAATAGCCTGACTTTCAAGTGTAATAGTCAGTGAGTGAGTATGGTTTGACGCCGCTTTCAGCAATATTCCAGCAATATGACAGCGGGGACACCAGAAATGGGCTTAACACATTGTACTCATGTACAATCGAAAGCGTGACGAGCGAACGCTTCAACCACCAGGCTACCCCGCCGCCCCTCAAGTGTTACAGAGACAGTAACAGTCTGACCAAAGACGGTGGTGCTTTGGCCTATGAATAACGGACTCTTAAAAGCGTGAGTGCGTTGGACGCCGCTTTCAGTTACATCACGGCGTGTCACATTGATAAGGGAAGACGTTTGGCATGAGAATGTTCTGTTTCCCAACGCTGGCATTTTCATCCAAAAAACATTTCGTTCTTCCTCGTAGCTGTCATATTTTCTGTTTTAGACGGTCCTTCCGTGTGGACGAAGGCCTACATGGCAATGGTACCTGAGATAGAAGACGGAAATGAGGACGCCGGACATCTCTACATTACGTCATCTGAAGCTACGACCACGGACGCGTGGGTGAACACCAAACCTGGCAAGATCTATCAAAACATCATCCCAAATGAAACAGCTAGCTTACCGTTGCCCCCAAAAGTTATTCTGCCTCAAGGATCTCAAAGAAAGGGCAGTTTTGTCTTTTGCGTTGTGACGCCAGATGACGTTGGGGCCTTCTTCCGAGACAAGTGGACATTTTACCAAATAAGGGAGACGACTCAGTTACCGTTCACGTATACTGTCGTCTCGTATAGCAATGCCACTGATCCTATGTCATCTCTGATAGGCATAAGTGTGGTCTTTGACTTGACGAAACTAATCATCACTTTCAGAGAAGGAATTAATGTTACAAACGTTCTTGGAAATGTATCAAAAGGGACAATAAACGGACAACAGCTAGTGTTTAGTAAGCAGAGCCACCGTATTGCTATTAAATTGGAAATTGATGAAGATTTAACTGGAACAACCATTGAGAGTTCACATGTGATAACAGTTATAGCAGGGGCGATGTCGATTGATCCTTCGAACAGATATGTTTATTTAGATCACATGCCAACACGAGATGCTGGCTCAGTCTACATTGTATTTGGATTGCCGGATATCGGCGGAAATGACACTTTTCGTATTGTCGCAAAATCTCCTAACACTATTGCAAGCTTTGACAATAACCAATCAATAACGCTTACTGAAGAAGGCGATTTTGAAGATGTTTCTTTCTCAAGAGGCTCTTTTCACATCGTTGTCGCAACATCGGAAGTAATTGTTGCCATCTTTCTTCAAAATGGCGGACCGAGAAAGACCGACATGATAATAGCGCATCCAGTGAACTCAAGCAAGACCTCAAAGTTTCAGTTTTCTATACCTTCGAGATCAAGTGATGTTAATTTCAAGCATTACCTGGTAGTAACTACGGAATCGAGTGGACAGGCAAACATGGTGTTAAACGGGCAGGCACTGCCCCCAGAAACAGTCTGGTCCTCTATTTCCGGAACAGGTCATGTGGGAGGATACGTGCCGCTTGTGGAAACTGCGCAACCCCAGATTATAGCTACCACTAACGGGGTGTATTTCAACGCATATCTGATGGGCTACGGAGATGATGCAACTTATGGATCAGCTTTAGAAGGCATTGATACGCCCCAGGTATGTTGTATGCTTAGAGAAGGGGTGAGTTTCTGGTGTCTATGTTTAGAGAAGGGGTAAGCTTCTGGTGTCTATGTTTAGAGAAGGGGTGAGCTTCTGGTGTCTATGTTTAGAGAAGGGGTGAGCTTCTGGTGTCTATGTTTAGAGAGAGAAGGGGTGAGCTTCTGGTGTCTATGTTTAGAGAGAGAAGGGGTGAGCTTCTGGTGTCTATGTTTAGATAAGGGGTAAGCTTCTGGTGTCTGTGTTTAGAGAAGGGTTGAGCTTCTGGTGTCTATGTTTAGAGAAGGGGTGAGCTTCTGGTGTCTATGTTTAGAGAAGGGGTGAGCTTCTGGTGTCTATGTTTAGAGAAGGGGTAAGCTTCTGGTGTCTTTGTTTAGAGAAGGGGTGAGCTTCTTGTGTCTATGTTTAGAGAAGGGTTGAGCTTCTGGTGTCTATGTTTAGAGAAGGGGTAAGCTTCTGGTGTCTATGTTTAGAGAAGGTGTAAGCTTCTAGTGTCTATGTTTAGAGAAGGGGTGAGCTTCTGGTGTCTATGTTTAGAGAAGGGGTAAGCTTCTGGTGTCTATGTTTAGAGAAGGGGTAAGTTTCTGGTGTCTATGTTTAACATGAACGACCTCTTTAAGAAACAGAGCGTTGAGACACAAGTAGCTACATGTACTCTGTATACAAGTTAATATTGACGAAGACAAAGAAAACGACATCAGTTAATAAAACATTAATCAAATTAAAGCTTCTCGTCTCACCTGACAATGCTAAGTGTTGGTTTTGCAATAAGTAAAAGTGTTTCATCGAGTTAGTGTGTGTGTTTCCATCCAGAGTGCATTGTCCCAAGGGAACATTGGTACAAGCAATGGCTGTCATGGGTTCGTAGGCTTATCTTTTAACTTAATTATGTAACATTCTACAACCATTTATAAATTAAATTACTGTAGCAGCTATATATAATGAGCGGTTTTGTGAAGTAATGTATTTCTGTTTATTCAAATTCTTATTTACCTCAAACAATGATGTTAATGCCTGATTATCTTTCAGTGTGTTCACAAACATTCACAATAAGGTAATATAGTGTTTTAAATAATGTTTGCGTGAGTGGGTTTTACGGCGCACTTAGCAATATACAAGCCATATCAGGTCGGGTGGTTTATTGAAAATTGGCTTCATGAATCATGAAACCCGTGAAGATCCGGGGAAGAATAGGTCTTCAGCAACCCATGCTTGCGATGAAAGGCGACTATGCTTGTCGTAAGAGGCGACTAACGGGGTCGGGTGGTCAGGCTCGCTTACTCGGTTGGTGCATGTCATCGATCCCAATTGCGTGGATCGATGCTCATGATTGTCAGGTCCAGACTCGATTATTTACAGACCGCCGTAATCACCGAATATTGCTAAGTGTGGCGTTAAACAACAAACCAACCAACCAATCATGAATCATGAATTAGAACTTATAAAAGCCCCGTATCATTCAATGTGTAATTTGTACATGGGCCTTATAGATTTTAGTTGAACAATAGTTTTGCCTACAGGGATAATTAATTACACTTCTGATGTGAGATAATGTCTTGCTGTAAGATAACATAAAGTCGAAACCAATCGCGACCTAAGTTATCCGATGGCTCAGCACGTGTTCTTCGAAATCGTTGCCCCTCTGTTTAGATTTGAATAAGGTGAGATGTATTTTAAAGAGGTTATTGCAATTGTGTGGTCTGGAAAACGAGAAAGTGTAAATATGTACTCGTCAGTTTACTTAACATTTCCATGGCAATATGGAAGCACACTCTGTCACTCCACAGTTGGATAGGAAAGGCACACTTGACATCACTGGTACACCAAGGCTTCTCTCACACCGATCGATTGATTTTAACTAATGTTTCATGTTACACATGATTAATTTAGGGGCGGTCGGGTAGCCTCGTGGTTAAAGCGTTAGCTCGTCACGCCGAAGACCCGGGTTCGTTCCCGACATGGGTACAATGTGTGAAGCCCATTTCTGGTGTCTCCCGCCGTGATATTGCTGGAATATTGCTAAAAGCGGCGTAAAACGATACTCACTCACTTACTCATGATTAATTTAGGTAGTTTAATGGAACAAGTATTCATTTATGTTCTTTAGCAAAACACATCTGACCTACAGTTTTCATCAGACAAGACATTTTGTGAAAGGACAGGCCAGACCGGAAACTACATCTCCAATGGAACACAAAGTAAGGAAAAACTCCATAACTTGATTGAATATACAGCATTCAACTAATTCTAGCTTTTCCTAACAACGTACTGAAAGAGATCGGTAGTCCAGGTGGCCAAGGTGGCCTAGTAGCAATTCGCTTTGCAGTTTCTCATCCCTTGGGCACGCCAGAAACCTATGATTGTGGGTTCGAATCCCGGTTCGTCCCGATTATGTTTCTAGGTTTGTCAGCACCATACCCGTGGGTATCGCCGAAGTGGTAAACGTCTAAAACCTGTTTATCTTCGGGCTTTCCTCCCACATTCAGCTGACACGCCGTGATATAACTGGAATACTGTTAAAAGCGGCGTTAAACCCAACACACTCACTCACAGAAAGAAGCATCTAATTTGGTTCGGATTGTTGTTTTACGACAAAATCAGCAATATTACAGCTAAATGACGGCGATCTGTAAATAATCAAGTCTGGACAAGACAATCCAGTGATTGATATCATGTGCATCGATCCACGCAAATGGGATACAATGACATGCATTTATTAATTCAAATGGGTTTTATGCAGATGTTGTGTCAAATGTAAATGTCACAGTAACGGTCATGCACTAATTTGAAGGTTTGTTGTGAAAGATGATTTGGTTGATTGGTTGGTTTGTTGTTTAACGGCGCACTCAGCAATATTACAGCTATATGATGGCGGTCTGTAAATAATCGAGTCTGGACCAGACAATCCAGTGATTGACATCATGAGCATCGATCCACGCAATTGGGATACGGTGACATGCATCTACCAAGTCAGCGAGCCTGACCACCCGATCCCGTTAGTCACCTTTTAGTGCATGGGTCCTCGCTTCTTGACTAACCACGGGCTAATATTGACATGGACGAATATTGTGTGAGATCTTTGAGTGAAAATTCGATGGCATTGTCTAATATTGCCTTTTGAATATTTTCCTTCAAGACACTTGTTGTAATATGCTCTATAAATTATTTATCCCATGTTAATAGTTTACTTTATCATATAAATACAAGGTTTATTCCTAATGCAGGACATTTTTTATCATCCCCAAACACACTCGCGTGATAGCCTCTATGTACGTCTCCTTCAAGACAAACACAGTATCATGGGGAGCGGTACGGTACACTTATGAAACAGCATTTTGGTTATTTGCACTTTCAACAAGCGAGGATACAATATCAAACGGCTCATATACTGGTCCTTGTAAGCATTGCATTAAAGTGATGGAACCCCAATTAGTATATACGCAGCGTCATTATTGAAGGGTCAAGCAGATAATAAGAGTTAAAACGTCGCATTTTCAACTTCCAAGAGTGCAGCTGAGTTGCACTGGAATGAACTATTTCATTGATGGTCTTGTCATGTATTGCACGTGCATGGGCTAAACCATCGGTTGCATTCAGGCGTGTGTTTTGGATAGCTCTTTCAATCCCCTTTAATCTTTCACTTTTCATTGTTTTTAATAGTCCTCCATTTTTCTGTCAAAAAGCTACCAATTAGTGTTCTTCAACTGTTATTTACATTGTCATCCGACCTGTTGACGCTTGTTTATGTGTGAGGCCCTACATACCTTGTTTGTTTGTTTTGTTTGTTTGTTTGCTTGTTGTTTAACGCCACACCCAGCAATATTCCAGCTACATGACGGCGGTCTGTAAGTATTCGAGTCCGGACCAGACAATCTGCCCGATGGGTTCCATATTCATATTAGCGGAGTTAAATCTTCGGGTACAATCTCTCTACATTGTGACATTATGTTTACCTCAATCCTACCATGACGACATCACAACTACAATGTAATTGGATTTTACTTTGTTTGTTGTTTAACGCCGCACTCACCAATATTCCAGCTAAATTGATAAACCTATTAATGGCCACTGCTCAGCTATCTCAACTCAAAACGTATTGTAATGCTCTTAAATTCTCTCAAAATGCATTCTTATACGTGAAGATCCGGGGTAGAATAGGTGTTCAGCAACCCATGCTTGCCATAAAATCATAAAATGCGACTATGCTTGTCGTAAGAGGCAACTAAAGGGATCGGGTGGTCAGGCTCGCTGACTTGGTTGATGCATGTCATCGATCCCAAATATTGACACACCATCTGTATAAAACCGATATATGAATTAATAAAAGTGACAAATGTTACCTCTGATATCAGACGCACAGGTTATGGTGATAACAGGCTCTTCTGTCCATCGTTCTGTTTTAGCAAACGACATGCCACGAAGTCTTTTTCTAGGAGGTGAGGTGAGGTGAAATTGGGTTTAACGTCGCGTCCAAGATTATTGCACTTATATAGTGACGTGCATGTACGTGTGTGTGTTTGTGTGGCTGCTTGTACTAGTCCGGACATATGCTGATTTATAGTGCTAGCTCACTGAGATACCATGCCGCAGTTTAACATGAATACCCCACTCAGACACAGTATACTGACTCCGAGCCGACCAGTCCTTGTTTTAGCCCCTAAATGCCCAGCGTCAGACAGGGTAACAACAAGTACGATGTTTTAACGTCTTATAGAATGGCTCTCCGGGCGGACGCTCTACCACTAGACCACGGAGGCGGTCCTTTTTCTAGGAACAAATATGAGGTTTTTATGTGTTCTTAACAGTTGTAGCCCATGCTTCAAGTAACAATGGGTACTGCATTACTACTCATTGTCATATATTATCTCTTTCAGTGGAAATCACGAAAGTAACTTCAAAAAAGGAAAAACGGTTCTTGTCGTACAAATCACTGCACCGGACAACGCTCCACTTACAAGCATGTCAGATGACGTGTCTCCTCTATTCTGACTGTATTGGGGTCAACTTCAAGAATGTGTCGTCACCAGCTGAAATCAATTGTGACATTATCATGAAGGGAGATGGGTGTTCGCTGAAAGGTTCTGGCTGGACAAACTACCTCTTGAAGTAGCAGAACCAGGATAAAAGCGAATTGTCTATGACAACATGTACGACAAGGATACTATCTGCATTAAGTGTCGAGAAGACTCTCATTAAAATAACTACAGTAAACTACGGTTATAACAAACTCAAAGGGACTACTAATTTTAGTTCGTTATAACCGTAGTTCGTTATAAGCATATGTACAGCATAACTACAGCAGATAGTCGGGACCAGAAAAGTAAGTTGTTAAATCCGTCAGTTCGTTATAAGCGTGTCCCTTCCCTGCCTCAATCGACTGGTCGCAGGTTCGAATCATATAGTCGTTCTAATAATGTTTCAATACCTGAGTCTGTGGGTTTCACGTCTAATAAGAACGCCTATGGACCGTGTCAGTATTGCCTTTGGTGGTGAGATAGCCGAGTGGTTAAGCGTGCGCTCGTCACGGCGAAGACCCGGGTTCGATTGCCCTCGAGTACAATGTGTGAAGCGCATTTCTGGTGCCCTCCGCCGTGATATTGCTGGAATATTGATAAAATTGGCATAAAACCATACTCACACATAATAACCTTTGCGACTCACCCTTGTATATACACATGAAATTTTGTTGCAAAACACCCTTTCATTCACTCTTTAAGTATTTTAGTTTGTCGGATTATGATAAAAATAAAATCGACAAAACCCTTTCCATATTCAATAGAAATCTCAGGAGCATGTGTTTATGAATCACTATCAAATAGTGATGATACCAGGTGTTCGCGAAAAGGTGAACGTCTCCTGCCCCATTAGTGGCACCCGTCATAAACACATGCAAAGTCCATTGTTCACCTGAAAAACCACGGGAACATATGGTCAAAATATGGTCGGAATTGCATCGGCCATCTCTCTTGTCACTGCATCCGCCAAGATCCGGGGTAGAATAGGTCTTCAGCAACCTATGCTTGTCCTAAAAGGCGACTATGCTTGTAAGAAGTGACTTACGGGATCGGGTGGTCAGGCGCGCTGACTTGGTTGATACATGTAATCGTATCCCAATTGCGTGGATCGATGCTCATGATATCAGTCACTGAATTGTCTGGTCCGGACTCGATTATTTACACACCGCCATCATATAGCTGTAATATTGCTAAGTGCGGCGTTAAACAAACAAACAAACAAACAAACAAACAAACGCACTCTTGTCACTAATGCGTCAAATTTGCAAATGTCCTCCACATGTGTAGAAAGTGTTTAGAAAGCGTTACTGAGGCCTTGAATGTTGTAACCTTGATCGAACAACTCCTGAACAAGAGATGTATGACGCTCTTTGAAATCTTTGTAGAAAGAGCATGCTCGATTGTACCCCAAAAGTCGGAATATTTCTCGGCATAAAGAGAAAATTGACTATTGGAAAGTTGAAGTCCCTTTGGTATACAGACTTGTGGAGACACAAATATTTTAAATGCTGTTGCAAATTTGAAGAATGTACAATTCGAATTTCAGTGAGTGAGTGAGTATGGTTTTACGCCGCTTTTAGCAATAATCCAGCAATAGGCTTTGACAAGTTGTGACAATCTGTTGACATGTTAGATGTTAACTTATTTTTAAACTTATTAATATTTTTTTGTCTTTTATTTGAATGTTCATAAAAAAGAGTGAGCTTGCTGATCCTTGAATTCATAATGTATTCAGTGCACCGTGTTTGATGACCGCTATATTTCGAGTTCTGTACATTCCGGTGATTGTTCTTTTGTTTAATTGTATCTGACGAGGAAATAAAATATATTTAACACTCGAACCGTAGGGGTAAGGTAGTTGTATTTTGTTTCAAGAAGTGTCTTAGTAGCTAGCCTTTTGAATAGACATCGTGATTTACGCAAACACTGTTGCCTAAGTTGTCGCTAAATAGGTCCTCGTGAGTCATGCACTACGTTTTTAATTTTGTTTTTGATTATTTGATTGTTGTTTAACTCGCACACAACGTTCCAGCTAATATGACGGCGGTTTGTAATTAATCGAGTCAATGCGCATCGATGTACGCAATTAGGATCCAAGGACATGCATCAACCAAGTCGACGAGCCTGACCACCTGATCCGGTTGGACGCCTGGGTTGCTGAATTCTAACCTCGATCGTCACGGTTCAGAGGTTGATATGAAAGTTAATAGACTGGAATGTTGCATTTGACACTTACAAGTATTGTTGTAATGGAGAATGCCATGGGTAAAAGGGTTTAAATTGGGCGATTGTTTTATCTTCAAGAAACGACCCAAAATGAATTGCTCAGCAAGTGGTTGTGCTATATTAAGAGTCTCATGTGAACCTTGTTTTCTAAAACGACTTGTTAATGTTGAAATCTTCGAAAATGATTTACTCCTGTTACCAGGCGATTCCTAGGATTCCCCAGAAATATGTTCGTACCGAACTAAATTGTTAAATCCGAAAGTAACCACTCAAGTTGGGTTGACAATCTTCAAAGTATATTCAAAGGCACATGATAAGGGCTACAATAATAAGAAGTGGATCAAATATATGGCAGAAAACACCGGATTAAAGAAGATGAAACTTCGCATACTTCATTTGACCTTAACACTTCGGCCATACTGAAAGCTGAAAGTTCTACGGTCATGTAATGTCATGAAATTTGGGGAAACTGACAACAACGGACACCGTTGAAAACTGACTTCAAGATGGGTGTAGCTTCAACGACAGTACCCGATATCTCAAACATTGAAGAGTCAGCTTCCATTTCAATAAAACACATTGAAGATCCTGAAAATAGGTTGTTTTTAATAAACGGTTCATGATACTATTCCTGCTTGACAATGGTACAAGCAAACATCGACACTACTGTACAATGAACTACCGACCACATGCAGTCTTGTCCATGGACCTGTGATTGATATGTGAGGTATCCATTACGTGATGTGAGAACTTTGAAAAGAGAGAACATTGAACCATCATAATACATGGTGACCCAATCAGTCATGTAAATTACACGTCGTGTTGAATGTCAACTAAAATATATAAAGTTAACCGCTGAATGCCATTAGAACCAATTTAAGGCCATCTAGTTACTTATTTTCTATGATAAATACAGAGGCTGTTTTCACAAACCCTATTGGCCGTATTCTCTTGTGCAGTTGCCGTTTTCTCTAATTGCGCTGTGGCCATTTTCAACGTTGGTCGTTTTCACTCGAACCCGAAATTTGGTACACGTGTAATCAAAAATGGAGTTGTGTTTTTTGCGATGTTTTGAAATTAACATTTAAATTTACCTATATTTGCACTTTGGTAATGCTTGAGTTCTAATTTCTCTGCAAATATGATTCCTGGCACTGTAAAAGCATTTAACCAATGAAGTTCAATAGTGATATGATTGTCCATACTTTCGAATTCCATTTTAATGGTAGCCATATTGAAAAACCTATTATGGTCTTTGATAGGCGTTTAATTAATGGTAAATACGCTTTTGTTCAACATGGAATGACATATATTATATTGTTACTGTTTAATGTCTTGTGAAAGGCCTGTCTCCGCTCATAAATCCGAGTACCCCTACCTCAAGAGTATAGAAATAGAAATACAAGAGAATAAGATACGGTTTCTGAAAGTTGACACTCAGCAGAACATATTTGTAGTTGAAAGACTTGGATGCAATGGTGTTTCGCTTGGAATAGTGCATGGTTGATACCAATTGTGTTCTTACTGACATGATCAATCTTCGACCTCTAATGGAGGGACTTCCGACACATTGTACATTGACGGATGCTGCATTAAGGCGTTTCCTGATGTCAAGCAATGGACAGCGAAGAGCAATTGTAAAGGTGCTGAGATAGGCATGTTTACCAAACATACGTATTATCTCAACCAGTCAGTACTTCTGTTCGGAATATGCTTTGTCCACTTATACTCATACTGTATTATTGATATGAAATAGTTGGTGTCATCACTGCTGTTTTGTTTACGTCAATGGAATCTGTTTCTCTGGCATTGACGTTGAACGGTCCATATCAGCTTATGGCATGGCGCGTTGGTCGTGCGTCCATCGTGATCGTCGTCTAGCAGTCAGTTCGTCGTACGTCTTCCGTCTTCTTCTCAGAAGCGGCTGAATGGGTGATCCCGAAACTGTAGGGTGTTTGGCACAACAACTGAAATAGGTTTTATTTATTGCATTGAAATACAACATCGTGAATAAATGTGTTCTCAGACACGATAAAGGTCTAGGAATTTGGAACGTTCATTTGATGTGCTGCTGCACAATGGTTTTCAGTTTCGTTTCTGCAAGAAACACGAACAAGCTACCATCTAAAAACAAAACTTAGTTAATATTTAACCTTTAAAACCTTTTTAAGACGAGTGCCCACTGGCAGAGGACAAAACTTTCTGAAGATGTGTAGGGCCACATTGTGATTTGGATCTGTCAATGACATGGATTTGGCAAATGCGGCCTTTCTTGAAATATAAAAAATATTTTTCAATTCAAGGAAATATTAAAGAATAGTCTATTGATAACTCAAAAGCTAAGAAGGCTGACACTGTGAGAGCTTCATGGCACACAAACTAATAATTGATGTTTCTCGGTTATTAATCAGTGATTGAGCTGAAATATTGTGTAAATGATAATGATTATATATGCATACAGTGTTGCCATGTATAAATATTTCACGTCATTGAAAATGCTTTATAAAATCCCGCGAGTCTTGGATGTACATGACCGTTTATTACCCTCACGAAGACACCATATATTATTGATATCATACTAAGTACAATTTGTGCAGAACAACTTCTTTAATTACTGTAAAAGCGACGTTTTGGTAGAGATCCTTCTACCGTTGTCAAGCAAGATATATATATATAGTAGGTGGAGGATCAATAGAAACAACAGTTGCATACATGAGGGAAATTAACACGAGTATGTCAAGCAGTGACAACAGAAGGATAATGCTGTCACGACATGATGGACAGAGCCTTTATAGTAATTAAAGAAGTTGCTATCCATACATTGTGTGTACTTTGTCATCCGTCAACTTCGAAGTAATCTAAGTAATGCCTATCAAACAAGATATTACACTGTTCTCTCACATCAAACATATAACATTGTACAGCCAACTACCAATCTCATATGACGATCCTTCATGTCATTACGTCTACCACAACCATGTCGCCCTTTCACATCACTAATTTGCCTTCCAACTTCCGACCCCTGAATATCCGGGGTAGAATAGGTCTTCAGAACCCATGCTTGTCGTTAGAGGCGACTATGCTTGTCGTAAGAGCCGACTAACGGGAACGGCTGTTTTAGTTGATGCATGTCATCGTATCACAATTGCGTAGATCGATGCTCATGATATCAATCACTGGATTGTCTCGTTAATCCTCGGATTTTTTACAGACCGCTGTCATATAGCTCGAATATTGCTGAGTGCGGCGTTAAACATCAAACAAACAAACAAAAAACAAACTTCCATAATCTTAAACACACGAATTGATACTTACGATTATTTAACAACACGTCGCTGTGAGTTCCCAGACATTATCATGCCAGACGGTTGGTCTTTGTGCGCCTCTGTTTTTAATAAATGTGACCTATTATGGGTGCTAGGATACTTACTACTTTCAATTAATCTGATAGTATATCTAAAGACTGCACTTATTACAGTGGGACGTTGTAGAAAATGAGTCCAAATGTTTGATGCCATGTGTCTTTGTAATAAATATGAAACGAAGCTTATCAAATGTATGTTTTGGTCCTAAGATACTTTAGTTTTAAAATGTAATCAAAAGTCAAAGTGTGTTTTTTCACCCATAAGTTCCCTTATATCATGGTCGACCACAAATGTCTCTTATAATTTGTTTGTTTGTTTGTTGTTTGACGCCACGCTCAGCAATAATCCAGCTATATGACGGCGGTCTGTAAATAATCGAGTCTGGACCAAACAATCTAGTGATTGACATCATGAGCATCGATCCATTTTACCCCGTATCTTCACGGAATGTCTCCTATAAATTACTACTATTATAAGTGCAACATTGTCCCCTCAGTTTCTGACGTTTCACGGCCATGCATTATCAGAGAACCGTGCTGGCTTCCTATCTCCATGCAGTTTCCGCCAATACGTTACGTTTGGTTGCACTCAACCAGGGACAATTCCTTGCCTGAAGGTATCGTTGCTTGAGACCACTCTTCGAGGCCGCCTTTATCAATATTCGATCAATATCACTGCGGGGATGCATGGACTTCACACATTGGAAATCGAACCCGAGTCTTTGGCGTTACCAGCAAACGCTTGACTCAGTAAGCTATCACATCGCCCCTGACTATATATGAACTTTCCTGGTTCCTGTTCGTTGTTACTCATTCGATCCTGGGTATTTTTCCATGTGTGATATATGATCTCCTGCATTAAGTAACATCAGCTATAAGTCCTTTTTTGTTTATACCTTGTGTTTTATATCCGTCATGGGTCATTGCTGGAGCTCTGTTGTTCGATATGAGATTGCCATTCTATACAATGCCATTGATTAATACTAAAGTTGTGTTATTAATTTTTTTATTCTCTTCAGCCATGCGACTGTCAGCTGTCTAATATAAGATCGAACATAAGTCATCCCAGGCCATTGTTGACGGTGGAGGTATGCAACTGTAGACGACGCACACGGGTTGTCTTTAATCAAACCCTGCGCATTCCGCGTTCAAGATGTTCTCTGTTGTGGTCTTTCTGTTCCCTTTCTGTGTTATAATGTCACAGTTGAAGGAAACCGAATCTGGAATTTATTTACCTACAGGTAAGAACTAATACTTAACTGATAAAAATAATGTTTCTTTTACCTTATTTGCTGACACAGTTTTTTAAGTAATTAGATAGAATCTAGTATAGATATAAGAACGGGAAACAGGAAAACTTAAACGTTTCTGTTAAAAAGATTTTCAACTCACTGCAACATTTAAGAAAAATTAATATACTAGTTTGTAAAATGTTCGAGCTTTTCTATCGAATTTTGATTCGAATGATGCGCAGGCATTTAACATATGGTTCAAACATACCAAATATGAATTCTGCTATAAAACGGAATTGTGCATAATTTATGATCAAGTTTCTAGTGGTAAAATGATTGCATAAACTCTGTTTACATCTAACCATAAACAAGACGAAAAGTGAGTTGGGGAGGGCTCACTAATACCCCGACTTCGGGTCCAACTCAGTTCAAAGCACGAAAAACGCAATATGTTCTCAGAAAATACTCTTATCGAAATCAAACTTTGCACTGCACCTCTTCTCTTGGTTTAGGAACTTTGGAAAGACTCTATGGCGTAGTTGTTAAGTTATAGGTCGCATAAATGTTGAAGTTGAAAACATATTCTAAGTTGAAAACATTAAAAAATCACATCATGCCAGAAAATACACATTTCAAAGTTTTATTTTTAGTATAGAAACTTTCCTAAATTTGAAAGGAATTCATGAGGTGAGGGAGTGAGTGACTATGGTTTTACGCCGCTTTTAGCAATATTCCAGCAATATCACGGCGGGGGACACCAGAAATGGGCTTCACACATTGTACCCATGTCGGGAATCGAACCTCGATCTACGGCCTGACGAGCAAACGCTTTAACCACTAGGCTACCTGACCGCCCCAAGTTTTCTAGTTATAGATCGCACAAATGTTTCAGTAAAAACATTCTAAGTAAAACAGATTCAAATAGCTGTATTGTTTTCAGAAAATCCAACTGTTGAACACAAACTTCGCACTGCACCTCTCACATGGGTATAGAAACTGTACCCCCAAATCATCAGAAAAGAATTTTTCAAGTTTTCAAGTTTTCAAGTTTTCAAGTTGCAGAAATGTTGAAGTAAAAAAATCAAAGTTCAAAAGATGAAAAACATCATACGTTTTAGGAAAACACACTTACAAAACTTCTCACTGAACCTCTCCTACGGGTAGGTTCAACGAGAATTTATTTAGTATCTCAAGTTATAGGTCGCACTAAAATGTCTTCGGAAGGACGGACGGACTAACCGACGGAATGACGGAAGGAATTCCTTGGTGTAACTATATACCCCAGCCCTTTCAGGTCGGGGTTATGATAAATATACTCTTCAAAAACAGAATCGCCAAACGGATTTTTTTCGCCACAGGAGCAAAGTTAGCGGACCAAGAGGTGCAAAATGAAGAGGTTTAATGTGTTATAGTGTCAGTACAAATTTCCCGGCTCAAAATGATCACACCAAGGACATGCAAACCATTAGTCGGGAAGCACGTACGAATCGGAAAAAAAACGCCACCAGTGTATTAACAAAATGACCATGGAGCTGCACGTTAAACGGTATAAACGAGCAGAGTTTTTGATTGCCTAGCATATGCGACAATCGAACAGTGACAGTTCAACATGCTAAGATTAACAGAATCAGTTGCAGCCAGGGTTTTCAAAGTAGTGCCCAGCACCATCACAAGGCTATGAGACTGGTTTCAACAGGATGGGTCAACACGTGATCGGCCATGGTCGGGACGACCAAGAGTAACCACCCCCGCCAATGATCGCTACATCCAAATGCGCCACTTATGTGAGACGACGACCACAGCCACCTCAACCGCATCCCAAATGCCGGGTCTGCGCAGAATCTCCGACGAGACCGTACGAAACCGTTTAAGAGCAGCAGGTCCTGTTCGACGCGTCATACTGAGTCGAAAACATCTCCAACAACGACTGCATTGGTGTCGTCAACACAGGGTATGGCCTCAACTGCGATGGAGAAATGTCTGGTTCAACGACAAATCAGGATTTCTCCTCCGTCGAGGGGATGGAAGAGCACGGGTCTACAGACGTCGGGAAGAATGTTCAGCCGGAAACTGCGTACAGTAAGTTAACAGGTTTGGTGGGGGTAGCGTTATGATATGGACGACCATCTCTCATCATGGCAGGACAAGTTTGGTCCATATTCAGGGCAATCGTACGGCTCAACGACACATCAACGAAATTCTCCGACCACACTTCTTCCCAACTGCAGCCAACGTCAACGGTGTATTCCAGCAGGACAATGCTCGACCGCTTACAGCACGTATCACAAAGCCTGTCTACACAACAACAACATTGATGTTCTCCCCTGGCCCTCCAGATTCCCGGATTTAAACCCGATAGAGCACCTGTGGGATGAATTGGATAGACGGCTATGCCGACGTCAACCACAACACCAGACGTTGAAGCAGTTGGCTTTTGCGTTGCAGGCCGAGTGGGCTACCATTCCCCAGGATGTCTCTTCAATGGGCAGGAGATATTAGACCGCTATCGATTCCAACGGGGGACATGCGCGTTATTAATGGTAGCTGATCTGCACCTTGGACTTTTCCCATGTACCAATATCTTAGAAGACTACAATCATCAAGTGTTCTCTCCACAATATTTTGGCTCAATACCTTGTACGGTTCCTCCTATAAATGTATTTTCCTACCTAACACAAATCTGGCTTTGCGTTGCTTTTTTGAAAAGTATATTTTCCTCGTATGCCGATAAAGGCTGCCAAGATGGTAGCTTTCTACATGAACATGTATTTATTATATTGTCTGTCAGCGTAAATGGTCTATAATGCCACCGTCATGTTTAGGGAATTGTTTCAAGTCTGTAGGACACGAGGGATGACTTCAACTTTCCAATTGTCAATTTTCACCTTATGTCGAAAAATATTCCTGCAGCTCCAGACCTTGGTATCTACATTTCTTGAGGCCCAGTCTAGCATGCCCTTTGTACCAAGATTTCAAAGATCGTCAAACGACTCTTGTTTAGAAGATGTTTGATCAAAGTCACAACATCCAAGGTCCCAGTAAAGCTTTCAAAGAGGTTTATGTTAGAGATGTGGAGGACATTTCAAATTTGACGCACCAGTGACAAAAATGATGTCCGATGCAATTCCCAATTTTAACTTTTACCACATGTTCCCATGTGTAAACAATTGTTTTGCTTTTACAAGTCATTGTGACGGAACCCATCGGTGGGACAGGATACGCTCACCTTTACGCGAACGCGCACGTTAAATGTCCAACAGTAAGTAGGACTACGTTACTTGGCGGCCATGCTTAAAGTGTGTGAACACTGACTCGATGTATGTGAGTTAACACATAACCCTTAATGTTATCATATTTTTACATTAGGGGAAATTTTTACTATAAGATTTGTAACACAGCACCTATGGTACCAACAGTCAAGAATGATCATGAAATCAGGATTTGTGGAGCTTATAATGTCACCGTCAACAAAGTGTCTAAATTTGATAACTATCTGAATCCGAAGGTAAGATCTTTACGCCGTAGTGGGTGGAGGTGAAGAATTCACAAAGCTGGACTTGAGTCAAGCTTATCAACAGATAAAGTTAGGAGAACAATCAAAGAAGTATGTCACAATCAACACCCACCGAGGACTGTATAGGTAAAACAGGTTACCGTATGGTGTTTCGTCTGCTCCAGGAATATTCCAACGAAGTATGGAGAATTTACTGCAAGGTCAAACAATAGTACTGGTGAAAATTGATGACATCCTAGTGACTTGGCGTTCTCGCAAAGAACATTTAGAATGTTAGAAAGGCATAGATCCAGTAGCAGAAGAAGTTCATCCTATCAAGGATGCTTCATTCTTCAAGGATGCAGCACCAACTTAATTGACTGAATTGAACAACTGTGACCGATTCTTGAAAAACGTATTGGCACCGATGCATCAGATATTACAGAATAAATCACTTTGGTCATGGGGTCCAGCACAACAGAAGCCTTTCCAGGAGTCTACAGATCTGTTGTGTTCTGCACTGTCGTTGGCATGCGATATGTCCCCATATGGAATTGGAGCCGTGTTAGCTTATAGAATGGAGAATGGTGAGGAAAGACCAATTGGATATGTATCAAGAACATTATTTGCAGCAGAGAAAAACTATTCACAACTTGAGTGTTGGCTATTTTCTTCGCCGTCAAGAAGTTTCATCAATATTGTTTTGGACATCACTTCAACATCTTGACTGATCATAAACCATTGTTGGGGTGGTTTGGAGAAAACAAGGCTGATCCCACACTTGCAGCTTCACGTATACAGAGATGGGTTTGACGCTTGCAGCGTATGATTATACACTCTCATTCAAGGCAGGGGTAAATCATAGCAATGCTGATTGCCTTTGCAAATTACATCTCAAGCATACACCAGAGGTACGGGATACACCAATTCTGGCAGATACAGTCATGCTCATGGATATAATAAATTCTACAGTAGTCACAGCAGCTCACAGCAAGTCGTGGATGCGAACTTACCCTGTGTTATCACAGGTACTTTGGTATGTACAGAACGGTCGGCCTTACCATTCTGCTGAGGAGAAATTGAAACCCTACGTTATGAGGAAGAATCAACTTCTTCACATGACGGTTGTGTACTATTGGGAAACCGAGTAATCATTCCAAATGCTGGTAGAGCCCAGATGTTGGAGGAAGTACACCAGACACACCCTGATATGAGTCGTATGAAGAACGTAGCTCCCGGATATATACTGAACACCAAAAGAAACTTAGAAGGTATAGGAAACATGATGTATTTTGTTTCAGCTGGTATAAACATAATAATGATGGATACAACACAATTCATTAGCAATAAGAAAGAGTCAGTTCTCTGCACATCAGACATCTTCTGTATCCATCAACACAACACCACGTGACCATGCTGAAGTCAACTGAAGTATGGGTACACCTCAATACCTGGTATGGCCCCCATTTGCATTCACAAGCGCGACACACCGTCTGTGCATGGAGTGAATAAGACGGTTGATAGTGTTCATGGGGATGTGACGCCACACCTGCAGGATGGTAACCTCGAGCTGTGCAGCTGTCCTTGGCCTCCTTGCAGATGTGACCTGTGAATGTGACGGTCCTGACGTTGTGTTGTCACACGTGGTCTGACGGTACGATGCCTGTCTCTGGTGCTGTTGGTTGTCTGGAATATTTCCTGCAGACAGTAGATGGTGTAAACGTGGACGTTAAAGGTGTTTGCAACTCTCTGAACACTCTCACCAGCTTGAAGTTGCCTAATAGCTCTCTCTCGATCGATCTGTGACAGTCGTGGCATTGTCACTGACGTTGATGAGTGAATGATTCAAAGACATCTTCACGGACAGTTTTTGCGGTATAAGCAGCACGTGCATTTCGTGCGTATCCACCCCACACTTACTTCAACGTCGGTGCGTTTGAGCGCTGTGGATTAAGCGTTCACTGCCCTTAACTCTGGTTAGGGTCATTTTGAAACAATTAAAGCCCATTACAATGGAACCATAGCAGCCAACCGTTTTCACAACCATTTTCCCATATTAAATAGGAACTTGAAGATTTCGCGTTTCTTTTGGTGTTCAGTATATTTAAGGGCCCGGTACGGATTCAGAATTGGAGAGCTATTGTGTGTCAACAGAGGCAATTGTGATTTTATCACTTGTTCAGTTCTGCAGTGAAAGGTTTTCTGTGTTTCGGAAAAAGAACTTTAATTGATTAACTACTTCACTGTGAACGTCGTGGACTGTGCAAGTGATGGAATTGTATATTATTATGATAATGATAATACTTTCGTTATGTTATTGGGACATGTAATTGGCAGCTTAGATGGGAGGAGTATAATGTATCATGTAAGGGCTATTGGTTCGAGACTATCTGGTGCAGAGAGTATAGCTTCCTCTACTATATATAGAGACGCATACCTGATTACGTCCCTTTGCGGCCATGTTACGATACTACACAGGCACCTTTTGCTTTGACAACAAACTAGTATGTCGTTATGTTCGTTTTGCAAATTGTCTTTGGAAAGAGTTGTGAGTATGGAAGGGTTGTGTTGCTTTTACTTTGTATTTGACTCATAATTTATGAACGAAACTCGGGTTCTTCAGTTTACCATGAGAGCCCATAGTCCACATTAATATAAAAAACCTTCAACGCCAGAGAATAACAAGTCGTAAACATTGAACGCGGGTTTTAGAGTTCGTATGGAATCCATTTCACAAAAGTCTTTTTTTGTAATTGTACTAACGACCAAACTCGATGAATTCTTGCATCTAGTTTCATGTGTAAATAATCAATGATCAAATGCAAGTGACTGTTTTTTAGGTAAGATACTCGACAAATGAATACTACATACGTTTTCATTTGATAGTGTCGCCGGCATAACAAAGCCGTCTTTGAAAACTACACATAAACAGACACATGATAACAGCACGAACATATCATGCATTATTCACCGGTTATGTACTTAAAGACTCCCAACCCATGAAAAGGTAATCATCTCAGGTCAGAGTTGTATCGTTTGTCACATTCTATTTTGAACACTTGAAAGAGCCAACGCAATGATGTTCTTTGTACATATCAGTATTGACCTTATTCGTTGATGCATGCCACACAACGTAACATAACAACGATAACGCACGCCGAACCGATCAAACGATCGATTGACATAATCTACCACGAATGGATGTTAAATGGGATTTCAAATCCTTTCAAATTTGAAAAAAAACATGATTTGGTCCTGGTATTTATCAGATCAACTTCGACGTAACTGTATCTGAGCATTCTGTTAACTAGGCGAGTTTGACGCCATCTACATGTATGAACAATGGAATCAAGCGGTCTTCAATAGTGACGACTGAACACAGCTGTGAGAGCACTCTCCTACCCAGAGTTCCTTGCGCTCAGCTTTGAGCCTCTGCCGAAAGGCCAGCGAGATGTGATAATCAGTCAAGTCTTACGCAACCCATTAAAAAAAGTAGCATCTGTTTTTCATCTTTTACTGTTTTGAAACGTCTACAAAACAATGTGTAAAGCGCACTGAAAAGCTTGCATTGGGCCAGTCTAATATGACATCAGAATTAGCGCGATTGGTCACAAATAAGTACGATAACCTCATATGCAAATGAGGCTGTGGCAGTGGTGCAACCCGAAGCCATCACTCATTCGTCACCACTCGCCAATTTCCATAACATGCAAGAAGACTCGTTCCCCAATTGATGAATGTTATGTGCGAAAATACGACAAATCAATCAAAATACGCATATGACTTCAAACTCTTCAGTCAAAGAATCCCTCAAGATTATTATTTTTATTTACATATGTCTCGCATCTAAAAATATACTCAAGACACAGTTAAATGTGTTCTGTCATACTATATAATACCGCATGTCCCGATGTGCTTTAAAATGCATCTGGAATATATATGACATGGGGGAAATATACGTGAATCATTATGCAACGTGTTGACAATTCTTTTAGCTGTGCTCCTTTGCGCTTAGACGGAACCCCGTCGCAAAAATGGCCACGAGAGGGCCACGAGTCGCTATTCGGCTGGTTCCGGAATAACACGAGTTGGTCACGAACGAGTCATCACTGCGCCGGATTTGTGGGTTTTAATAATACTGAATATTTGATGCACTGAAATGTAAACAGTTGAAACCGTCAGTTCCACCAGAGAGTCATGCTGTATTAATGCATATGACATGAAATACAACATATTAGCGTTGGGGAAGGTGTGACATTATCCAAAAATAATCACAATAATTTGCCGGGAAAAAAAAAGTATACACTTTTGTGAGATACTCATTGAAATGATGCATGGACTATCGCCCGTGACATCAAATAAATCAAATAATCATTACTTTGATGTATACTTTCTTTTTCCAGCCAGTATAGTAAAATTTTAAGCAGCTGCAAGAATAGTTCATGTATTTCTTTTGCATACGAGATATCCTTATTATTCTAACCGGGTGGGGATTCCGGGTTAGAAGGGGTCCCCTGCAACATGTGCTTGTCATACTAGGCAACTGAATGGCCCGGTCCCGCTGGCGCATTGCTTAGCATGGTACCCCGTAACAGTTGTATCGTTGCTCTTAATATCAATCTCTGGTTTTGTCTTGTCTAGACTATATTACGTACGACATCCGTGAAGATCCGGGGTAGAATAGGTCTTCAGCAACCCATGATTGACGTAAAAGGCGAAAATGCTTGTCGTTGATGCATGTCATCGATCCCAACTGTGTGGATCCATCCTCATGATATTAATCACTGGATTGTCTGGAACAGACAAAAGGCAATATTAGACAATGCCATCGAATTTTCACTCAAAGATCTCACACAATATTCGTCCATGTCAATATTAGCCCGTGGTTAGTCAAGAAGCGAGGACCCATGCACTAAAAGGTGACTAACGGGATCGGGTGGTCAGGCTCCCTGACTTGGTTGTTGCATGTCACCGTATCCCAATTGCTTGGATCGATGCTCATGATGTCAATCACTTGTCCAGACTCGATTATTTACAGACCGCCGTCATATAGTTGGAATATTGCTGAGTGCGGCGTTATACAACAAACCAAACCAAAATACTTACGACATATAGAGATTCTCACCCAAGTGTCTTTTGATATCAAATATATCAACATGAGTTGATAAAAGTGGAAAAATTCCGAGTCTTGCCGAGGATTTTTGCCACTTTTATCAACGAGTGTTGATATATTTGATATCAAAAGACACTCGGGTGAGATTTTTTTATCATCCAACATCATTCTTTCAACTTTTTCAATTTGTAGACAGTAATTAGCAGTGTCTTCAGAGTAAAAAGTACTGCAAACAGCTTCAGTAGCAGAGCCGTTAGTGATGTCATTTGATTGTGACGTCATGGTTACCAGTGATGTCACAATGGTCTGCAAAGCATTGTGATGTTATTTCATTGCAGCGATATCTACAGTGTAGATATCGCTTGATCTCATCCAAGCGATATCTCCTGAGGGAGCCAGTTTTGGATGATAAATAGCGGCTTTAAACAATAAACATATAAATTATTCGAATCTCTTATATTCTTCTGTTCGTGTTTTCAGATGGTCCTTCGGTGTGGACAAAGACATACCTGGCTATGGTGCCAGAGAAAGAAATTGGAAGTAAGGATGCCGGTTATCTCTACATTATGTCATCCGAATCCACGACCACTGACGCGTGGGTGAACGCTAAACCTCGAAAGATTCATCAAAACATCACTTCAGGTGAAACGGCTAGAGTAAAGCTGTCCAAACAAGTTATCATCACACAAGGATCAAGCAAAAAAAGGTCGTTTGGGTTCAGCGTTGTAACCCCTGGTGACCTCGGGGTCTACTTCCGGGACAGATGGACATTTTTCCAAATGAGAGAATTGAATCAGTTATTAAATCAGTATACAGTTATATCTTACAACAATGCTGCCAATCCAATGTTATCCGTAGTAGGTATATGTTTTGGCGCCGACTTCACAAAACTAACCATATCTTTTCCAGATGGAGTAAATGTGTCGAACGTTCTTGGACCTGTAACAAGCGATGTTGAAGTAAATGGACAAACCGCTGTGCTAAAAAAATTATTTTACCGCTCTAGTCTCAAACTGGAAAGTAATGAAGATTTAACTGGGACGATAATTAAGAGCTCACATAGAATAGCAATAATAGCGGGAGCTATGTCGATTGATCCATCTAACAGATATGTTTATTTAGATCACATGCCAACGCGATATGCTGCCAACAACTACATCGTATTTGGTCTGCCAGGGATCAGTGGAAATGACACTTTTCGTATTGTAGCAACATCTTCTAAAGCCGAAGTTAGCATTGACAGTGACCGAACAATAAACCTAGCTAGCAAAGGCGATTTTCAAGATGTCTCATTCTCAAGAAGCTCTTTTCACATCGTTGTCGCAACATCCAAAGTCGGTATTGCAATCTTTCTTCAAAATGGCGGACCAAGAAAGACAGACATGATGAACCTACATCCAACCTACAACAGCAAAACCTCGAAATATCAGTTTTCTATACCTTCGATATCAAGTGATGTTAATTTCAAGCATTACCTGGTAGTAACTACAGAATCGAGTGGACAGGCCAGCATGGTGTTAAACGGACAGTCATTGCCCCCAGAAACAGTCTGGTCCTCTGTTTCCGGAACAGGTCATGTGGGAGGATACGTGCCGCTTGTGGAAACTGCGCAACCCCAGATTATTGCTACCACTAACGGGGTGTATTTCAACGCATATCTGATGGGCTACGGAGATGATGCAACTTATGGATCAGCTTTAGAAGGCATTGATACGCCCCAGGTATGTTAGAGAAGGGGTGGCCTCATATTCGGGTACCCATTCAGCCATTGTCTAAATTGTTATTCATTGTGCACAGCTGTTGCCCTTGGGCACGCCAGAAACCTATGATCGAATCCCGGTTCGCTCGGATTACATTTCTAGGTTTATCAGCACCATACCTATGCTCATGATATTCATATAAATTTGTTAACATCTACGACCTACATCACTTCGGGTTTTCCTCTCACATTATGCTGACACGCCGTGATATAACTGGAATACTAGATCGTTGCTTCTTCAAGCACATTGTTTGAACCATATTAAGGAGTCAGTTACTGATCACAATCGGCAATAGTCCAACTCTATCCCAACAACATGTATATATGTTAAGCCTACACAGATATGCATTCTTATACTTGATGGCTTGAGTATCGACCCACATTGTAAGGATGCAACCCATGTACCCAGTCACACACCCTGAACAGCTTCTATTAGTTTTGCCGTGACGACTTTTTCTTTACTATCTTTAGCCATGAAACACATGCATCGGTAATTCTGGTAAAGAAAATGCCTCACTCTTGTCTACTTTGATTCTTACAGTAACTAAAATATATGATAAAATATGATTTTATGTAAATTAATAGTATTATTTGACATCCTTGGACTATTGCTGATTTTGGCTTTGAAAAAAATAAAACTCATTTACTGGTCTTGGGTTCGTATCGTCGTTTTATTATAATTTCTCAGCACTAGATCCTAGATATGGGTTTCCCTTGTGTGCATATATTGATCCATTCCGGATGCATAATCAAAGACACTTACATTTGTTGACTGATTTAATTACTGCAACACAGACACTAACAATATATTTATTGTTTAGGAAAACACTGATGATCTTCAGTTCTACTCTAACAAGACATTTTGTGAAAGGTCTGGCCAGACCGGAAACTACATCTCCAAAGGAACACAGAGTAAGGACAACGTTCTCACGTCCATGTCTGGAGGCATTCAGGTTACATACTGATCTAAATGAACCTCGTTGAACCAGACCGGTGTTTTATACAAATAACATCCAACTGAACCATATGTGATCATTATGTGTTTAAGTCCGGTCAAGACTCGATTATTTACAGGACGCCCTTATGTGGGATTTTGTATCGAGATTAGATGTGTTCCGCTTCAGCTGAAAAAACCCCGACATCTTGCAACAATTTAATTTTAGTGTCAGACAATTTCTCTTTTTTCAATGGTCTGCAGCATAATTATCATTTTCGAGAATATTCTGGAACAATCTATTTTATTCGATAAAATCCGAGGCCTCTCCCAACTGAGCTAGTGTTAACAGCTAGTTCAGGTCCTGTCGTAGGCGTCGTGATATCTAAACAAATTATTGTGTGTTGTTCATATTCAAAACAAACGTGCGTGCCTATCCTAACAAACACGCGAACATCCAAGCAGGTTGGGCGTGTGTGCGGGGTATTCTCACATGTTGTACGTCGATTATGCACCTTTACTCTCAATACCGATTGCCACATCTCTCCCGCTTTCGGGTGCGATCGTTCGGCCATTGCGTTCCCCTGCGCTGTCCAGCTACATCGGTCATTGTGATGTATCGCGTAGCTATCGTTTATATATATTATTGAAGTTTATATGAACCACAGGTACTTTTTCCATTGGTGTATATTATATATTTACATGTGCCTAATACCCATGACCCCTTTCATCTGCAAACAAATTCAATCTTGTTCTTCCGGTAAACTGAACATTGTTTGACCTGCCTTGGTGATATCATTTGGGTTTCCCGAAATTTAGATACTACTACTACCACTACTACTACTAATGACAATAATAATGTTTGTCACAAAAGCTTTTTGCTTAACATAGGACCTCCTCAGCACAGATCCCAATACCTCTTACCCATCTCTTTTACATGTAAGCTTTTTTGCCAAAGGAGAATTCACACTAAAACGCAGATTGTCATTGTCGAATCCTTTAGGCTCGACATATGCAACATCATTTTTCATCTGAAACGTGGCAAGATAAAAGAGAGAGGATCCGTCAATGTAAGGAGTTGGGGGAGGAGTTATTGACCATCTTGTGGAAGGTCAAGCCAAGACGTATTTAGGGATACAGGTTAGAAACAAACTCCAGAATGACCATATGAAGGACAAACTTTGGGCAGAATACAAATTTAGGAATAAGGAAATCTAGATCTGGAGTTCTGAGCTGAACGTTCGCGATTAAGCTACAGCCACAGTTACTTATGCTGTACCAATCCTTTCGTATTCTCGTGGTGTTGTTGATTGGACGAAATAGAATTTTCAGGGTATTGACACCCTCACACGAAGAATCATGTCAGACAATAGATCCCACCACTCTGGCTCTTTCCTCAATTGCTAATACTTTCCAATTACAATGGGAGGGCGTGGTTTGAATTATTAACGTGGAGGCTCTTAATGACAGACGTGTATTGTACGCATTAGGACAGTTATTTGTCTGATGATCCTCTTGTTAAGCATGTCAAGTCTTATGATGAAAGCAAAACAGTCCACAGTTTTCTTAAACGTGCCAAGGGTGTAGGACATAATCTCAAATGCCAGTGTTGATTTTGTTGATAGTTCTGAACTGCTGAACGGTACAGAAATGAGTGTGAACAAAGCGAAGTGCGATATCAAATCGGCACAGGCTCAGTATTTCTGAACGACCACTGCATCGAGTTTATGTGCAGTGTGTTGAGAAGGTCAGCAACCCTACAGAGTCTTTCGCTTGGATGAAGTCGGCTGGCCTGAAAAGTAAAACAGAAGGATTTCTGTTTGCTGCTAATCCCCAGACACTTCACACTCGATATCGTCAATGTGTGACTTTTCATCAAAATGTAAATATGAACTGTGGATCATGCAATGAATTTAATGAAAATGTCCAACACATTGTCAGTGGATGCCCAGCTTTGGCACAAACACAGTTGACATGATGGAGTGTCTCGATCATATCATAACCGTCTTCGCCTTGCTTATTGTTTTAAGTCAGGGGTTCATCCATGGTACGACCCAGAATAAGTAGAGGGCGTCCTGGAAAATTATAATCGGAAAGGACTCGTATGCAGCGCCAGACGTATCCAGACAAGCACACCTGACCTCGCATACGAAAAGTCACGCTTATACAGAAGGCTCAGTATTGGGGAGTCACACATTCTTCGAAAAAATATGGGTGGATTCGACGAGACAGCGCTTCATGGGGGAACCCTCTTTGCTGCATTTATATTGTAATCTGTATGTGAAAATAATGATAATTGTTTTGCACCAAATTCCATTCATGAGTAGATACTCATCGCTCTTTAGATGAATACCTTTTTCGAAACAATAATTCTCCGGAATGCAAGGTTTTGAACCAAAAAGAATCGGCTTTGCTTGTCTCTTCCATTTACCTAAAATCAATAATTATATTTGGTTATAAGTTAAAATTAAGTCGATGAATGATCTGTACAGTGAGAACAGTTGCTCATATCGATCATACGGATACAACGCTCTGGGTTCCGTTTCCCAAGGGTTTCGTAGTCGAAAGCCATTAATAAACAATAGGAGCTACGACAGTGAAACTTGATATTGTAGATTATAGTGTAAGTGCATACAGTTTATACTGTTGTGCTTTGTGATCCAGATCGTCACACTCACAAGCACTGACTCTAAAAATATTTTTAAATTCAACAAAAAATAGTTATAACTGTACTTCGCATGTGCGCATCAGCAATTTTCGAAGCCACAATACACTTATTATTTGTCGTTCGCTGAACATAATAATAACCGTTATTCTCATCCGTTTTTTTAGAAATCATCAATTTGAACTGTCTTCGAAAACATGGTTGTTTTTTGCATAAAGGGTTACGAAAGCAAATATTGAGTCTTAATAATCTTTAACGCCAAACAATCATTTAGTCCTGAGGGTGGGGGCGTGAAGGGTGGAGGGGCAATCAACAAGCCGCGTCTCCTTGGACAAGTTCCATCAGCTGTCTGGGCTGTGTGTAGAAGGGATGGATGATGGGGCGATGAGCCTAACCAGCATGACGGAGCCAGATCATCAAAACCCTCCTTGCTGCATTCATTTATTTTTATCTGTATATAGAAAAAGAACATTCGTTTGTTTATTGTTGAACGTCGCACTCAGCAATATCCCAGCTATATTACGGCGGTCTGTAAGTGATCAAGTCTGGACCAGAGAATCCAGTGAATGCCATCTACGACAAGCATGTTTTATTGGATACCAATTCTATCCGAGATCTTTAACAACAACTTATTTAAAACAATAATAATACATGTATTTATAAACGTTTAAGTACTTTATAAGGTATATGATATTAATAATGACAAATGAAAAATAAGTAATAGAATTGAAGATGGTAAAACAACTTGGAGTTAACATAGACCCGTGAAGATCTGGGGTCGAATAGGTTTTTCAGCAACCCATTCCTGCCGTAAAAGGTGCTTGTCGTAAGAGGTGACTAACGGGATCGGGTGGTCAGGCTCGCTGACTTGGTTGATGCATGTCATCGTATCCCGATTGCGTGGATCGATGCTCATGATATCAATCACAGGATTGTCTGGTCCAGACTCGATTATTTACAGACCGCCGTCATATAGCTGGAATATTGCTGAGTGCGGCGTTAAACAAACAACAAACAAATAAAACTCAATTGAAGCTTTCAATGCGCACAAGTTATCATGTACTCTGTACCATGTTTAGGGTATATGATTAATGCTCGTCTGACAACTGTTTCAGTGGAAGTCTCAAAAGTCAAGTCCTATGCAAAAAAACGGCAGTTGTCGTACAAATCACTGCACCGGACCACGCGGCACTTACAAGCATGTCAGCTAACGTGTTTCCTCTATTCCGACTGTATTGGGGTCAACTTCAAGAATGTGTCGTCACCAACTGAAATCAACTGTGACATCATCATGAAAGGGCAGTTTTACCAACTGCGTGATCCTGCGTGGACTAAATACCTTTTGACGTAGGCGGATCAGAGTAAAGGCAGTTCAACAGAAATAAGTAAAACAAGTATTGACCGATTAGTTGATATCGTGATGAAGGCTGGGATTAGTTCCAGAAAATACTTGGTAACTAGTTTTGCCTCGGGAAATACAGTAAACTACGTTTATAACGGACACGCTTATAACGAACTGACGGATACGACGAACGTATTTTTTGTCCCCACCACTGCTGTATCTATGCTGTTCATATGCTTATAACGAACTACGGTTATAACGAACTCAAATTAATGGCCCCTTTGAGTTCGTTATAAACATAGTTTACTGTAATGGAAAACTGGTTAGAAAATTGTAGAGGCTACGAGAAAGAAATGCATGTCTGCTAGCATTAACTACCCCCCCCCCCCCCCCCCCCCCTCCCCGATGCACATAAACACACATACGTGCTGTGTTGTGTTGTATGTAGAGCTGTGGTACTTTCACACAGGACAACGCTTAAAGAATGTTTTAAAACCGAAAGCTGAGTTCTTCAAACTATCAACGACTATTATAGATGGGGGACTATATTTCATTTTTATATAATATCATCATTGTGGCCTTTTCATATGTTGGCAGAAAGGGCGTGTTCACAAAACATGTTGCGCACTGATCAAACTATATGCGTTGTTGTTATTATTTATAATCTTGTTGTTGTCTAATTATTCTCAAAGCCATGCTTTGTCGGTAACCTTTCATTAGTTCTGCTTAGTATCGTACCAGTGTATTATGATGTTACATAGATAATCTCACCCTCGTGTCTTTTGATATCAAACATATCAACATTATCAACAGTTGATAAAAGTGGAAAAACACTTGCCGAGTGTTGATATATTTGATATCAAAAGATTTTGTTTATCATCCAACATCATACTTTTTCAGTTTGTAGACAGTAATAAGTAGTGTCTAAGTGTAAAAGGTACCGCCAACAGCTTCAGTAGCAGAGCCATTAGTGATGTCATTTGATTGTGACGTCATGGTACCATGACGTCTAAATAGTCTGCTTGAAGCATTGTGATGCAATTGTAGATATCGCTTGATCTCACCCAAGCGGTATCTCCTGTGGGAGCCTGTTTTGGATGATAAATGATGTATACTCACCGCCAAAAGAAACACAAAGCACAGGAACATTTTGAGAAGTATGAATATACGTAAAGAAGAGATGGGTCCAATGTGTACCACTTAATGACAAAACAAACATTAAGTCGAGTGGTATTCAGATCACGATGTGCTGTACGTGATTTCCAAAATGTACACGCCAATCCTGCACGAAGCGAATGGTGCATCTCGAGTCATGGATCTATGACGTAACATGTGATGCGTTCATGCGTCGGTCCACACAACATAACAGTATGTTCGTTTGTGCTTCGAACCAATCTGATATCTCTTCATTATGAATGATTCTTCAAATTACGCAATTATTCAACGTTACGACATGCCACGCCTGTCCGAAAATGAGCGTCTGCGAGCCATTGGTATGCTTGAAGCAGGATCGAGTCAACGTGATGTTGCAAGACAATTTAACGTCCACAGAAACACGATTTGGTGTTTATGGTAACGTTGGCAACAGACGAATGCAGTCAGAGACCATCCTCGGTGTGGAAGGCCAGAAGACCAGCCAGACGTCCCATTTTGACAGGAAACCACCGTCAAGCACGTATACAGTGGTGCAGACAGCGTCTACGCTGGACGGCAATGCAGTCGGGACAAGTTCTATTCACTGACGAGTCTCGTTTTCACCTCAGCCACAGCGATGGACGGATTCGAGTGTTCCGACGTCCAGGTGGACGTTACGTCACTCATTGTGTCACGGAAGAAGATCGGTTTGGGGGCGGCAGCGTTATGGTATGGAGTGGGATTACAGCAGGGCAGAGGACCCGTTTTATAGTGGTAGAGGGAAATCTCAATGGACAGCGCTACCCCGACGAGATCATCGGCCCTGTTGTTCTACCGTTTCTGCGTCGTCATGGCCCAGTCATTACCTTTCAACATGACAACGCCCGGCCTCATATTGCTCGACTTGTTCAGGATTCCCTTCAACAAAACAACGTGAATGTCATCTCCTGGCCGGCTCGCTCCCCTGATCTCTCACCAATCGAGCACATGTGGGATGAGATGGATCGGCGCCCTCGACGTCAACCACGTGTTCCACGGACACTCCAGGAACCTCGAAACATGCTCAAGCAGATATGGACAGTCACCCACAGGACTGGTCCATTCCAGGAGACGAAGATGTGTTGCTTGCATCGCAACCAAAGGTGGACACACACGCTATTGATTTGTACATTGACATTTTGGCATGTTCATGTTTTTTTTATGAAGTCAGTATGGCAAATTAAACCATTTGAACCATTACAGGAGTCTTTTATCTGTTGCAAACCGAAAATGTTTCAGACTTGGTAAAAAAATTACTTTGCATTAAATCTTATTCAATGTCACAGGAACTTTTGTTGTTCAGTATATAAATGGTCTATTTTATTCAAATTTTACCCTTGACTGTAACAGATACACTTTTACAAATGACAAGGCGTGTGAAAACAACGACTTTCTGTTTTCTGTCTCGCATGGAAGAACTTACAACGATAACGTAAAGGAATAAGAAATATTACAATGCTAAAGCAAACCGAATGCAAACATCGTTACTTGTGAGTGAGTGAGTTGGGTTTAACGCCGCTTTGAACAATATTCCAGTAATATCACGGCGTGTCAGCTTAACGTGGGAGGAAAGCCTGAAGTGATGCAGGTTGCAGACATTTACCACTTCGGTGAAACCTACGAGCACGGGTATGGTGCTGACAAACCTAGAAACATAACCGGGGCGAACCGGGATTCGAACCCACAATTATAGGTTTCTGGCGTGCCCAAGGGACGCAACTCTGCTCAGCGAATCGCGGCGCCTTAAAAGACTGGGCCACCCGTGCCCCCTTTCCACACTAGGAACCCAAAGTACGAGAATCTGTACTTTACTTAGGAAGTGTCATCCCAAATATAACATTTGTTACATTTGACCAATTCCTAAATGGCAGTGTGTGTTCTTTGCTATTATTGTTCAGTTTTCCTCAGTAGATTTGCTTTTACTAGAATGAACATGAGACTAATTGTCTTGCTTTGAAGATTTCCTACCGACAATGAAATATGAATAATTTATTGGCTCTTGGTGTTTGTCTTTCACGTGATTTGTTATTCATTACTTTTAATTGTTGTAATAAAGTTTCATGAAGGACAAAACAAATGGGGGTGAAAATCCCTTAGTCATCCTTACAGCAACAGATTCAACAATGTCCTCTGGATTTGTGTATTAAAACAATCCCCGTGAGATATACATGTATATGAGATATATATCAAGTATATATACTCTTCAAAAAAAGAAACTTGACATAGATGCAAAACCACTTTTTGCCAAATATCTAAAATAATTACATTAAATGAGAACCAAATAAGTCAAACAGAAAGATGATCTGTCTATAATTCGCGAAAACACATGCACAGCACATAAACGTAGCGTTTCGGGATGAATTTTACAGCTTCATCCAAACGCAACCGCCTGTAAAAAACGTGCAACACAGGATCCTGCATTTAGGCATGCAGCCCCCCCTGCTGAATGGGTATAAAAATCCACATCAACGGCTGTTCATACAGTCCTTATAACGGCAGTAGAGGCGGTGACAGAATGCCAAGACTGAATGCAGCTCAACGAAACAACGCCATTGGGAGATTACAAGCTGGAGCAACTCAGGAAGAAGTGGCCAGGCACTTTGGCGTATCCAGACAGACAATCTCCGCACTGTGGACCCGATACAACACCCAAGCACAAGATCGATACATCCGGCTGCGACACCTCCGAAACCGCACTACCACAGCCACGTCTACAACCACACAGATCCCTGGGGTACGCAGCATATCAGATCAAACGGTACACAGCAGACTGAGGGAGGCTGGACTTTTTGCACGAAGACCTGTTCGACGTCATGTATTGACCCCACGTCATCTGGCGGACCGTCTGCTTTGGTGCCAACAGAGGGTTAGCTGGGCACGTGCAAGGTGGAGAAATGTACTGTTTACTGACGAGTCCCGTTTCCTACTCACACGTGCTGATGGGCGCGCACGTGTCTACAGACGTCGGGGTGTACGTTACGCCCCCAACTGTGTGCAGCAGGTTGTCCCATTTGGCGGCGGGAGTGTCATGGTATGGGCCGGAATTCATCACGGTGGTAGGACGCCTCTCGTGCATGTGACAGGTGCATTGACAGGTGTGCGTTACAGAGACTTGATCCTACAGCCTTACGTTCTTCCTCACGTCAACGTTCATGGCGGACAGTTCCAACAGGACAACGCTCGGCCGCATATTGCACGTGTTTGTCAGGACTTCTTACAGCACAACAACATCCAGACATTACCTTGGCCAGCCCGGTCACCAGATTTGTCCCCGATTGAGAGCATCTGTGGGACGAGTTGGATCGACGCGTTCGCAGAAGGAATCCACCGCCCCAAACACTTCCGGCGCCTCTTGATGTACTTCAGCATGAATGGCAGCACATCCAACAGCGTGTTATTGACAACTTGATTGCATCTATGGGTCGTCGGTGTCAAGCGGTGATTGATGCACGTGGTGGGCACAACCGATACTGACATTTTCTGTACCCCTGTGACATTAACTGTATCGTGTACGTGTGTCTGTTTCGGTGACACGATTAATGTTTTGAACATTGTGTACATTGATCTTTAAACAGTGTTTCAATTATGGTTTCTGTGTCCTATTTTGAAACAATCGCATTATATTACATTCTGAAAGTCAGTGTCAAGTTTCTTTTTTTGAAGAGTATATATATGTGTGCATGCTAAAAGCAGAATACATTGTACGATTGTACGATTCCGACTGTTTCAAGCGACGTGTCAAATTTAGTAAATTCCTCTGCTATACAATTCTGAATGACATTCATCGATGACTTTCAGTGATCCATTCATATATGTATCACTACTATTTTGCCTTTTACGCAATGTGGAATCTGTTTTGGGAGATAATCGAGTATGAATATTCTCTGGCGTTAACGTTTTATATTAAACAGGTTTTGATGGTGGATCAGTAGATTATCAATTGTAATTATGTAGACGCCAAATACTGAGTGAGTGAGTGAGTGAGTGAGTGAGTTGGGTTTAACTCCGCTTTTAACATTATCCCAGTTATATCACGGCGTGTCACCTTAGTGTTGGAGGAAAGCCCGAAGTGATGCAGGTCACAGACGTTTACCACTTCGGTGAAACCCACGAGCACGGGTATGGTGCTGACAAACCTAGAAACCTAATCAGGGTGAACCGGGATTCGAACCCAGTCATAGGTTTCTGGCGTGTCCAGGGG